TTGCGTTAAGTCCAGTGTATAAGTATTAAGTATAACTGCCATCATAGGTCGTTGCCACTACCATCGTAGCAACACAATAAGATGACAGAATTTTCAATGCAAATGTTCTGAGAGTTCTTCATTTTGAAGAATCCATTCAAGACATGAATATTGCCCAACAATATAGCCTATAATATGCATAAAAAAATAGTTACGCTATTAATTGGCTTGGAAAATTTTACTGCCACAATATTTTCGAATGCCTGGTATAGTAGAAAAATCATAGCGGTCTAAGGATCTTTTATCGTTTTCAGCAATAAATAATTACTAAACCCAGTAGTGGTTCAAATCGCTGTTCCCTTCGTTTTCAGATAATATCTACAACGTTGAATAGACCAATCCACCTGAAACTTTCATCGTTCACCAGTAAATAATCCAAAAAACGCAGAAATAAAGCTATTTCATTGGATATCCGTAATAAAAATTGTATAGTTTATAGGTGATAAAATACAGAATAAAGTTTATGTCGCAGACTCATAAACTATTATATTCAACCTTTGTTTGTCTTCTCGAAATCAATTTATGTCACTATGATCCATAACAAAACGTTTTATCTAACTACGTAAACAATATATAGGGTGTTCCATTAAGAAACAAACACGACTGGCATCCTTGTTTTTTCTTCTCTCTGACCATAAAACAATACTGTAGAATTTGTGTAGTTTTGTATCGAAGAGTTTATTGTGAGTTTTCCAAAGTGAATTAGCAAGTTTGAAGGTACAGAATCAGATTTTGTTACATCAGAATTCTACAAGAAGTTTTTGAAGCAGAACTGGGGAAAACTTTCACAAAAACGTTTCAAGCTTTGAAATAAGTTCACGGAGATGATGCTCTGCTTCGCTAAATGGAAGCAAGCTTAATAAAGTTTAAAAATAAAGTTAGGTTATTTTCTGAACATACCTCGTACGTGGTGTTTATGAATTGGTGAAAAAAAAAACGTAAACATTGGCTTATTTTACTGTTAAATCTTAAAAACTGTCCTCTTCGACCTTTTGTTACTCAATCCTGAAATCCATGATAATCAAAAAAATATATATGTAGACATTAACAAGTTTTTCAGACGAACAGCTCAGCATTTGTAAACCAATAAATTCAGATGAACGGAAATAAAATTAAAAAGTAATTTAAGATATTTGCAATATTTGCTATTTTTCTAACGATTCATACATTGCGTAAAAGTTTTAAGAAATAATCATTTTCAACTGTATTTGGCACAAGGGGCTCATATTGAAATTATGTAGATTATCCTATTGTTTTAAGTCTGAAAAAAATATGTACCCATAATTATACTTCTACTAAATCTACTAAATTATACTTTCTATCTACTATCTACTAAATAAAATGCTGAAAATAAAAACATAAAAAAATGAAAGCTTGTATTACAAATATAAAATCCAGTTGCAAGTATTAGTCATTTCGAAAATTTTCTCAATATACTACATATTTTTTAATATTTTAGAGATTTAGAATATTTTAATTGAGAATTTCATTATAAACGCAGTACAAGTAATTTATTACCTTTTCTATAATTTTTAACATAACAAATTATATATTGATCATGATTAATATCTATTTTAATTCGCTTTGCTGTACAAATAAAAAATTCTTATTACAACCCTGTTCAGCGTCTCACCATCCAAGGACAAGGACAACGACTGAACAAGATCAAAGTGCTAAGTTTTATTTGTATATGCTGTATCAGTAGCATGATGCACAGAAAATATACGGCGAACTAATTTGATTAATACCATAACAAAAAGTGGCGCAATTCCCAACATTTCAAACAATCTTCTTTTCAAATAGCTAATGTATACAATTAAACATTTATAAACATTACAAAATCATTTAGTTAATTGGTTATTGTTGTTTGTAGTCATAGCTAGTATTTGTTGGGAAATTTATAAAAAAAAATAATAATGAATTGTGCCTGTATCAGTGTCAGTAAAAAATACTTTAGGTACAAGTACTTTAAACCGTTCTAAAAATATCATTCAATGCAGTTTATTTTTAAAAGATCATCGATCAATACACTGGAAAAATATAAGAATGGGTGTACGTTCCTGACATATCGAACAAAAATGAGGCCAGATAACGGATATACTGAATACAATAGACCACGCCAATGAAATATATGTGGCTGGCTTTTATAGGTCAAATATTTCCGCAAAAAATTCATGGCCTGTCCATGACACGAGTGTTCTTCCCAAGAGTACAATTTAGTGGGTTTTTTATATTTGCTTACAAAGTTTATATGTATCAGAATCGATTCGATAGAATCCCCGACGAAATGTCTGCACAGACTTTATATAATGGGAGTAGTTATTCTGTATTGATTGTAAGTATAAGGCAAGGTCTTCTTTAGACAGATTTATATAGATATATATTTGTATCTAAATCCTGTGGTTGAATTATTTGTTTTTGCTGATAAATTCGAATTATTCAAAATGTGAGGGAGAAAAAATGTGAAAAGTTTTTTATCTACATTACTGACTATCGACTCTATGGAATACACACAGTGTCCCAAATTACGTAGGTTAAGTGATAGAACCCCTCGACATAGCAAAAGGGTTCCTATAAACTATAAACATTGATTTTGGAAATGATTATCGCTCTGGTTATTGAAAATAATTTAGAAACGTTTAAGGATAGACAAATGAAAAACACGGGTATGTCATATTCTACCTTTATAATACAAAACGATAATTAGGAACCAGAATGATAAAACATCTTCCTTGTTATGATAAGAACTTAAAAATTTATTTTTTTTACTTGAAACAAAAATTGGATAAGACGTTTTTTGTTCTAAACGGTACAATTTTAGCGGGTAAATGTGTTTGAATTGCTCTCAAAGATTTTGGACCAAATTCAATAGCAATGGGGGGCTAAAATTTGTGGAATTACTTTTTTTCAGCATTACGAGTACTATTCGGTAAAATATACCCCTGCAGAACATGCAATCTTTCATACATTCCCAGTGACGAATACTGTTTGTTTTGTGGTTGCCACGTCATCGATTTACAACTCTTGACGTTTCGAGAGACATATTACTCTCTTCTTCAGAAGTTACTCTTGTCACTATTTATATTTGATGTGGTCACTGATCCATGACGTTCTGGTAGGTGACCTCGTATGCGTTGTTGACGTTCCAGTAGGTTGCTTTCACGGATGACTCGCTCCCATACACCTGGCATATACAAATTTTTGTAAATTTCTAATGCTTCTTTGTATAGTCGGGGCCAAAATCTTCTCTCTCCCACCATTTTGTTGGCTTCACTCAGATCCACCGTGTGTCCCGTGTCCGCCCTATGTTCTGCTACTGCCGATTTTTTCCAGTTGTTATTTTTGAGGTGACTTTTGTGTTCCCTTAACCTCGTGTTGATGTGCCTTCCTGTTTGTCCTATGTAGGCCTTTCCGCAAGAGCAAGGAATACTGTACACACCGGGGCCCTGGAGCTAGTCGTTGTTGCAGGTCTTTGGAAACGCTGTCGCCACCTTCTTTACAATGCTGAATACTGTGTTGATATTCCTCTTCTTCAACCATTCAACCATTAACGACAGCCACGAAAGCCTACAAACAAAACCTGTTTGTTTTGTTTGTTGTAATTAGTTATATGTCAAATATGAAATTGTACGAATAATTTTTATGCTATAACCACATATGTTCAGCAAATACAAATTCAAGAAACAAATTTGACATGTTTATTCATTTTGAGTTCCAAGACATAAGAAAAAAGTGACGATTCAACAATTACATAATTTGTTAACATGGAATTTGGTCCACAACCTTTGTGAACATTTTGCCCTGACTTACATGGCTCGCATACTTTTTCTGATCTTATACATATGTTTTAGAAGTTTTTAATTTTTCTTATTTTGTTATATTATGTATTTATTTTGAGTTTTACCAGACACAATTTGGCTTTTAAAATTTAGGACACACTTAAAAGGTACACAGTATTCTATGTTTATATAAAATATACAGTTTTATATTAAACATAATTTTTCATTTCATTACAAATCTAGGTTTCCGAATTTTTAAGTACCTATGCAAATTTAATTTAAAGGGGAAATCATTTCAAAAAATTAATAAGTTGCAGACGTTAAGCGCTTTGTGTCGGTTTATATCAACGTTCTGAAGTTTCATTTTATTAACTCATAAAATGAAATTTATATTGCAACTGTTCGACATAAAATTATGTTTTATTTTTCGTGTCGGCTTTCCCTTGTACTTACGAAAAGCATATTTTTATCGCAAATAATTTTACTAGTAAATCTGGTAAATTCAATTCGAATGGACTCGCTCCTTTCAAATCAAAATTAATGCATACAGGGTGATTTAATTTTATACATACACAGTTTCAAAATAATGCCTATAATAAAGTTCTAAAAACATTGGATATTTATTTTAGGGCCAAATTCAGAGACTTCCCTAAATCTATACTATCCTTTCACTCATATCAAACTTATGTTTCACTCAACTTAGGGTGCCCTCATCTCATTCAATTCTGGTATTCAGATATGTGTATAAATAAGTAACTAACTTGAGTGTGCATCAAACCACAAATTACTAGATAAGGGAACAATTGGCTACGCAAATATCACCAAAAATATATCATCAGTGGAAACCTAATATCACATTATTTCTTTATTTTGAATTGGAATAACTCACGTTGAAAATATATACATGATAAAATACATTTAAATAATAAATAATGAAAATCAGAAGGTCTAATTAATTATCCAGGTAAAAAACGATCCCCATACCATGATATCCCAACTAATAATAATCATCTTTTTAATGATATTTTGTTTACAGATAAACGCAACGATTGACTGAATGATAGAATTTTTATTATTATTATTTTTTGTAGCATTGTTGCTGTCATCCTTACCTTATTGTATCGAGTTAGTCGGAAAATAGAACTGTTAAACATTTTAAATTAAAATAAATAGAAATTGCTATTCATTTAGATAATATAATTAAAAACTATTAAAGCAACATAACAACAAATAAATAATACACTATTGAAAATTAATTATCGGCAAACACAAGTTCTTTTGCAAATTGCTACGCCTTTCTTACTAACAAGACATTGAAGTATACATATTCTGCGGCAGCCTCGTTTTACTCTTGTCAGTCCTGAAAATGAAATAATGCGTAAACATTTTTAATTTTTTTTTAAATGTTTCAATTTTAATAAAAGCTCTTTAAAATTGTTCATTATGACATTATTACCTTGGATTTCAACAGAGACAAAGACATTACTTAATAATCGAAATATCATCATTAATTTTAGATTCTTTTTCAACATGACATTTACTACATGACATTAGAAGACATATTCTCGAAGCCATTTTTGTTTCTTTATTTGACTCAGAGTTTACTTAACATTTTATTGGTGGATTTTTTTATTGTATTCAATTTTTTAAATATATAATTATAAATACCAACAATAGTGATCGGTGCGAAAATAGCAGTCAAAAATACCAGCTAATTCGCTCAATTATGCCCAAATACATTCATGGATATTCCAAATTTACTGGAGCATTACAAAACATAAGATGAAGATAAAATAGGACAGTTTTTTCAAACAAAAAAAGAGCGAATGTGAAATCATGAGGTATTATCGATTGAGGGTGGTTGTGTATCTCCAACTATCTATTTTTTCTCGATTAAATCGTTTAGGAATAGTGCACAACATGGTATTTTCAATTGTGTATTTTACTCCTCTTCTCTCCATTTCTCTCTATCACATTTTAGCTTTTACACTAACTACTGACGTTTAAGTTTTATTTCATTTTTATGAAATCTTCATGTTTTGTAATAAATACTGTAAATTTTGGAAGTCCATCGTTGTGTTCGGACATAATCAAGCTAATTGCTATTTTTGGCTGCTGCTTTCACACCGGTATGATCTTGTAAGAAAATGAAAAAACGACAGTGGCCTTAAAAATGTTATTTTTAAATTTCGTATAAATTTAAAATCAAAAGACAATGCAAAATTTTTTAAATTTTTTCAAACAATCTCCCAAATTAAAATAAACTACTCACCAAATTATGTAATTTTACCCTAATTTAATGATTTCTCATCTCTGATGGATCCCGAGAGGGTAATTTTGAAACATTAATAATTTAAAGTAATATTAAATATACCTGTATCTTGTTCTTCCAAAAGCCCTTCTTCAAAAGCATATGTATCTTGTTCTTCCAAAAGTCCTTCTTCAAAAGCAGCCGGTGCACTGTAGGCACTAAGAACCAGAAGCGACAAAACAAGTACAATTATAAGGGATATATTCATTGTTCCAATTTGTCTGACGAACTTGAAACCAATGTGAGTTATTATAGTCCACTATAGTTTTATAGTCCCCAAATCACAATGGTCCTTTTGTTAAAGTAAATATATTTCCTGGGATACCCCTTTTCCTCATACATTAGGAATTTTATCATATATTCGTGTTTAATTACTAAATATTATGATGTCACGACCCTGAGTGATACAAAGTCTTATCACAAACTAAGTGTATTTTGATGCAATATTTTTAATTACACTAATTTGAACTAAATGCGAATATAAAAATGTTTATGGAAATACCAATGGTATTTTTTGTAATTTGTAAACATAGATCTCAAGCACCGCAAATTAATTTGGAAAAGGGTTATTACCTAGTGTTATATTTTGAAGAATTTATTTGTCATAAATATTATAACCATTGTAAAATCTTTGTTGAAATTTTTAATGTAAATTTTATATAATTTTTATAATAAAGTATTTTTAAAATGTACATCTTTATTATTAACAAATCTCTTTATAACAATAATAGGTAACCTGCACCAAAAGAAACATAAATGTGAATAGGTAAATTATAATCCCTCATTTGAGAGATTTTTTTTAAAAAACCTTATCATTAAACTGATTTTCTTTTCTGTTCTATATTAATAATTAAATTGTAATAAAGAATAATTTCATAATTCCCGGTTCAGGGTATTTTATTAAACCTTATTACTTGTAACTTTTTTATAATAAATATTGAATACTTCTTACTTGTACAATATATAGGACGATCAGTCATAATATTATTAATTTAAAGGGAAAATATGGAAAAATGAGTACAATACGAATACGCTATTAAAAAAAAAATTAAATGCATATTTACGCTGAAAAAAAATATTTTCAAATCATTATTTAAACCCCTTTTCGTACCGTTCCTGACCGCTTATCTACAAAGGTTTATCGGTCATTAACCTAGCTTTTAATCCGAAATGAACTACATCGAATAAACAGAGCTTTTTGGGTAGACATATGACTGAATTGGATATGTTTTATATTTTAAATATTAACAAGTATTATTTACTTATTTATTAATAAAAACAAATATATAAGGATAATAATTGTTTTCGAATGTTAAGTTATAGGTACAATTTACTGTTTTTAATACTGTTAACGTTTTCACTAGGTACGTTTTATAATTGAATATGAGATTTTAGTACTATGTTCACTTAATTACTCAGTTTGTAGTACGTATACCTTATTGTGTGACTTATTGTTTTCCAAAGAGTAGTATGGTACCTACCTATTTAAAATTACATTACGGCTAAAAAAACACTCACTCGTCCGCCCATAAAGTCTTTAATAAAGTTGGGATCCGCCGCACTTTGATTTTGAAATTTTGGAAATTAACGACTACAGGAGAAATTAGCTGTTTCGCTTCAATGTTCGAACGTTTTGTACTCCGGGCGCTGAGTTAACGGGAGTTAAGGGGTAATGTGCTTATTTTTTAAAAAGTCGAAAAAAGTTCTATTTTCTGTATTTATTAGGCCTTCCGAATACGTGGTTAAAATTAATGACATTATGACTGAATCACCCTGTATAATGAGTCAAAATTTCTTATCAATTTTGAAAAACGGTAAGCTTTAAGTTACATTACTCATACATCTATCCTAACTCTAGAATATCCTTTTATAAATGAAAAAATACATCGTATAGTATATAGTTTTGAAAATATGTTTTTACTATTAATATTCTCAAAACATGGTAATTCCAACAATTTTCCCAGTAACTTATCAGTTTACACCATTGAATTAATTTTCGCGTAAATCCTTTTTCATTTAATATTATAAACGAGGCGAGTTGTAAAATGCGATCCTAAATCTTGATTAACGACCAGGAAGTCTAGTAATGATTCCTCTAAGACACCGCCTCTATTCCAAGGAAATAGGTAAGCCAAATCCTCTCTTTCAGCACAGCCCACACAATGTTTTAGTGGCCACAATGTATCAGCTAACTACTAAAGGTCGTGATAAATCGTGTTTCTCTGCAGCTTGTAACCAGCTTAGGTAGTTTGTTTTTAAGACTATTTGGTAATCAACTCGCGAACGGAAGTTTCACTTTAGATAATTCTATATGTGTACTAGACCACTATACATATTAATCTAAAACGTAGGTTTTTTTTATTTTATTTATTACAAACATTGGTACACGTAAAATATAATATCTTGATCTAAATTACATTTATGCACGGAAAAATTATTATTAACTTGAATCAAAGACGCTACAAATAAGTATGCCATCAAGTAAATTCGCTTCCATCAAACATTGAAAGTATAGAAATGTTCATATAATGCGCACTCTAATGTTAAGTTAGTCAAATTAGGTCGACCACAAACTGAGAATATGTGATTTTCGTTTCATTTTTTTAAATGACATCAGTCATTACTCATTACGTCTGTCAACACGGAAAAATTAAATTCAACTTTATTTTTCCTATGGATGTCATAGTGCATATTCGCATTTTTGAATTTAACTCATTTTTCTGATTACGTTGAGGTGTCATGAATTATTCGCTTTTTATTTCCGCCGAAATATCAATTTACTCATTTTTACAAAGAGTGTTTTGCAAATAAAATATCCAGTTATTAGTCAAAACAGAATTATTTAACTTTTTATTTAAAATGTTAAACTAAAACAGAAATTTTTCAAGTGAAAAAAAACCAGCCGTACCTATTTCTAATTAATTAATTAATTTGAGCCATAGACCTAGTAAACCATGGACTGGCCTTAGAAAGAGAGGTCTATCGAGCTGATGTGTGCAAGGCAGATGAAGCTAGTTGAGGCAAATACCGATAAAACAAATGATGGTACACGAGTATACCGTTACAAAATGACGTAAACAAACTTTGAAGTAAATGTCATGTATTGACATTATTGATTGATTTCTTGAATTTTTGTGCGATTTAGTTAGTGTATGTGAAAGATTCGTAAAAACTAAATATGGTGTAATCGTGTTCTGCGATAAATTGCGTAAAGAGACGTTTTAAGTGGAGAAAAAATTAAATTTCATAGGTAGGAAAGAAGTTATGATGATACCAACATGTTTATACTTTTCGCATCTTTCTGAAAATAACGACCAAGTACAGTTGTCTCTGATGATAACTTATTAGATTATATTATTTCCCCCATCCTCAAAATAAAATGTCATTTTAACGTCAAAATTTTGCCGCTTTAAATGTGTTACTCTTCAAATTATTTTTTAACATCAAACCGAATATAAAGAAAAAGTTTTAACTGAAATGTGCTTATAATGTGCTCCAGCAAAAATTCTCTTCAAATAATATGTTGAACGAAGAAAGCATCGACATAGTTTCAATTTATACAGTTCTGCAAAGCAAGAAAATATGAAATATTTGAAACAACTACGTCAGAAGAGCTTGCAGTAATTTTAACCGATCGAGTTTACGATATGAGGAAAATAAATGGAGAAATACATAAATAAGGCATTATAAAAACTATTTGGAATATTATAGTTAAAACAATTCAAATATTGTACTTTAATTAGGACAGTAATATAATAAATCCTTTTACATACGTACACTACTGGAAAAAATGAAAATTTTTTTGTTTTTAGTCTCTATATTATTTTTATAAAGTCTTTGAATACGGTCCAACAGAAAAAAGGGGTAAGGAATCGAGTATAGCTAGCTGATTGGTTGAATTAAATGTAGCGCGCTGCAATCAAAATTCTGTAAACGAAGCTTAAGCCCTTACTAGCTCCATCTCTCTCGCACACGTCTAAGCGATTGCCGTTTATATAGGCAAAATGACAGTTGGGCGAGTCCAGTTGTTTATAAGGTCTATGATTTGAGCATATCTCGCTAGTATTTATGTCAAAATTGATCTCTAAACTTTGAAGTTGTCAATGAAAATGTAATTGAGCCGTCAAAACTTTATTTAAGGTTATAATTGGATGTTTCATATTCAAAGCAGTCTTTGTAAAATTGGATAATTTAGTATTTCGACGAAATCATTATGACACATTATTACAATTAAAAAGAACTGAAATAAAAAATGCTTGTTCAATATGCTGACTTTGCAAGACATAATAGTATTAACAACAACAAAATCACAATATAACTAGATAGCTTAGAAACCATTTACCTATACCTACTTCTCTTGACGATACATATAACGGCATTGAATAAGATATTATTAATATCTCGTTGATGTAAAGCCGCTGTTAGAAATATTTGTTGATTTTCTTGTTTGTTTTTCTGGTCATATTTGGTAAGCCTAGACCATTTGGAACAATGGCGCACATACAGGATGCGGCGTGTATAATCTATAAAAATTCTTCCTAATGATATATGTAATAGAAAATTCATTTACGAAAAAGTTTTATCTTCGCGTTTTTTTTTTGTAAATTAAAGCTCATTTGTTCAACGAAAATGAAGGCCGACCCTGTGTTATTTATTAAAAACTTAGGAAATGTTATTATGCGATCCGAGATGCAACCTTATAATTTAAGTCGGTATAATCTAATACTAGTAATACTAAAAGAAGGTTAGGTTACACTGTCAAAAAATTTGTGCAGTCAACTGATTTTGTATTTGTATTGAATTCATTATTCACTTAATTATTAAATATTAAGCATCGTCCGTCGACCCATCAGTGTTAAAAAGTGAAAGATTCCAGACAAAAGTTTTTATTTTGTAACTCCACGATAGTGACAGTCTAATTTTTACAATGAACCGATAAAACAATGCATTTACTATTTCCGAACGTGTCGATATGGTGTTAGTGTATGGTGTAGCCGAAGAAAATAGGTTATACCGGAAACGATGGCCACAACCCCCATGTGCAAATACAATCCTACAGTGCGTTCTGCGGCTGCGAGATACGGGAAGTGTTATTCCCAGA